CAGTTTATTATAGTACAGCACAGTATAGTATAGTAAAGCACAGTACAGTTTATTATAGTATAGTATAGTATAGTATAGCATAGCATAGCATAGCACAGCACAGCCCAGTACTGGACATTAGGGCTCCTTCTCTGTTAATAGAAAATCCAAAATTTCCTCCTTCATTTTTTTAACATCTTCTAGAATTAATTTCTGCCTGCTGTGCTGTCACTGGGTTGTTTCTGTTTGAGCATGATGTGTGCTGCAGTGGGCGGGCTCACCAAGAGCTCTCACCACTGTCTCTCTTTTAGTGTGAAATGTCCAGATGAAAAGGAACATCCCACAAACATATAAGCAAGAACAGATGTCGTACTATATGTCTTGTGAAGTTTGTAGAATGCTTCAGTCTGAGAGAGAAAAAAAAACTTACCAAAGAACATAGAGCAATACTAAGTAAGGCAGTATTTCAGAGAGGATTTCTTCTTTCAAAAGTGATTCCTGCATCAGAAAGAAGTTACCGAAAGCAACCATTTGCTAATTTCTAGAAAATACATGAAGAGTTGATCATAACAAGACACTATTAACAAGTGGGGGTGGGGGGATAACAAATAATTTATCCTAATATTGTTGCTCCTTGATGACAAAATGTACAAGATACCTAAGCTGCCCCTTGGAGATGAGAAGTTAAAAGATTTACTGCTGGGTGGCCTCAAATAACTTTGTATTTTGAGACACAAATCATTCAGATAATCCAGCACTAAGAAAAAAAAAAAAGAATTAAAAAAATAACACATTTGTACTTACAGCCAAGTTATAATACTGCATCCTTTAAGACATGGGCCTGATTCCCTTTTGGATGAGACATAGTCGTTTTTTTTTTTCTTGCTGATTGGGATGTTTGTTTCTTTTGGTTTATCGTTTGAAAAGCGCTTCAAACCACACATACATATAATTCAGACCCCACACTCTTGGCACTTGTAATAGAGCTTGAGCTTGACATCAGTTGTTTTTTGGGGGCATTCAAGCTTTGAGCTTATGTTGCTTGTGCCGAGGAATTTGTTGACGCTGAGAGCGGTATACTTGGGGACAAAACAAGTTTTTTTTGCTCTGGGGTTCAGATATTATTATAAAGTAGGGTGAGGAATGGGGTTCTTTGCTCCATTCTTAGCCATGGCTAAACGTCTCTTCCGTACGGACGGAGAAGACATGGTAAATGGTAAATGGACTGTACTTGTATAGTGCCTTTCTATCCATTCAGGACACTCAAAGTGCTTCACTCTACAATCTGTGTTCTCATTTACCCATTCACACAGCACTCTGTTAGGTCTCTACAAAGCTAACATATACAATCAAATATGGAGACTAATCAGTGCCAATCAACAGGTGTGACATAAAAGGTCCAAACACCTTCAGGCTATTTAAACAAGTATTCTGGCAATTCATAATATAGCAAAAATAAAAAAACTTTATTATTATTTTATACAAATCTGTATGATGCTCAGCATTGCAGGTATGCATATCTTTGCCAATGGTTGTAGAACAACAGTAAGAAATAGTATGCACTGCTTTTCAAAAGGTCAACATTCACAAGTTCTGCCAAGCTAAAAATACTCACATGTGTGGGCCAGATCTGTTTACAAGCTGACATGTCAAATGGCTTATCAAAAGACTGTGGGCCAGGTCTGGCAATGTTGACACTGTTTTTAAGATGGCATTCTACAACTTACCCAGCTGTGTTTTGGTTCTTGTATTGTATCAATGTACAAATGGCCCGGATGTGGTTTGGTTTGTGGCGCTGCCCCGTGCACGGACCACCTAGAACAACTTACAAGCCACATCTGGGCCACTGAAGGGCCGTCATTCCTTGCAGTATCTGGTTCGAGTGATTTTCAGATTTTTGGATATGTGGGTATCTCCGGTTAAACTTTGACTTTTTGGTTTTTGTGTCTTGTTGGCGCACTAAAAGACTACAAAAGTCAAACGATAAAAATAAAGCAATGAATGAATTTAAGATTAGTTAGACATTTCATAAAAGTTAAAAGAGCTTGACTTGCGCTGCTGAATATCTTGTCCAGTTTGTGTGAACTTTCGCTGTTCCACCACTTCTTGCCACGTCTGGGAAAGAATAGTGTGGTAAACACAAACACAAAACCCTGTTATCCTGAGGGCTAATTGTTTACATGTGGCTCTCTAATTAAAACAGTGATTCACACTCCTGGATTGAGGGTTGACTTCATAGAAGAAACCACAAAACAGCTCTTTTTTTTTTACTGTTGCTCACGTCCATGTAAAAAATGCAATTTGTATTTTAAAACAGCAGTGGTAGCATAAACTGCCCACATGTGTTAATGACAAATCAGTCGACATGTTCAGCACATTTACGTAACCTCTAGTGAGAACCGCATTCATTTACCGAAGGACACACACGTCATGATTGGCCTGCACTCTTTCTACTCCCTCACTCCCGGCCATTTGAGCCCAGACGGAACACTTTCTCAGAAAACCCAACAATCACACAACAAACAGTGGTGACAAGCAAAGTCATGACCTCGTTTATGCATCGTTTTTATTTTGTTATGATTCCACTTTCCGGAGAAAGTCACTGACTGATCTTCACCAGGAATGAATTATAGTGGTGGGTGAATTTGTTTTATTTAACACACGAGTGCTGGTTGGAATAGTGATCAAAAGAGCTGTTGTTAAAGGGGGTGTAGCTGAACAACAAGGCCCCAAATTTTAGAGCCCACTAGAGACAAAGGCTTAAAGTCATTAATATAAATAAACACAACAAATCTAAGGATGCTGTTGAGCACAAAACCCTCTGAAGTCAGAACACACTGGTGCATCCAGAGGGCGATACTATAAAATGAGCTGATGGATTAGCAGGATATGGTAACATATCTAGATGGTAACAGCTGGGTCTGGAGCGATGTATACTCAGATTTTGAGTTAAATTTCCAGACTTCATTCATAAATTACTTATTTTCAGCACAGCAGCTTCATTAGGCTCTTACAATCACACGACTTCAATTTGTATCAGCAATTGCTTTACGATATTTGTTTATGTGTTGTAGTACGCAGATAAAGTTCAAGTAATGTTGGCTGGATGCTCATCCTGCCGTTTTCATAGATTTGATGTTGTCTGACACTTTTAACTAATTTTTTTCAATTATTTATCATAGAGATTTTTTTCTTCTTGTTTAACCATGGGCTATGAATAATAAATCAAACAATAAAAAAAATCATTGTTTGATGATATTCAAGTATTCACAGAGAATCAGCAATTTTTTAACACATATTGCACTCCAGCTATTATTGTATTTATAAAGGCACCACAACAATCTTCACTAATTAAAATTCAAAATAGTGGTTGTCAGCATCTTACAGATGGTGTGTGAAAGTAAAAATAAAGTATGCAACATTTCCTCTTCATCCAATTGTCTAAACATCTACTTTACTTTTTTATGTGCTTCAGTTACATGACCACTGATTTTAACTGGAATCACAAACTGCATGAAATCAGTGCTGGGGATGTAGGGTTGTGTAAATGCCAGAGCCCTGACTGATGGTTCTAGACTCAAAATTCAAAACTGATTTACTTACAAAACTTTAAAAAAGAAAGAAAGAAAAAAAAGAAAGAAATGCTAACATAGAAGCAAAAACAACCAACAGAACTTGCAC